AAATCTCCATCCAAAAGCCTCCAAAAGCATCAAATCTCAATGGAAATCTCAAATTGTTTAATAGAAATCTCCATCCAAAAGCCTCCAAAAGCATCAAATCTCAATGGACATCTCCAAATGTTTAATAGAAATCTCCATCCAAAAGCCTCCAAAAGCATCAAGTCTCAATGGACATCTCAATTTTTAAAATAGACATCTCCATCCAAAAGCATCCAAAAGCATCAAATCTCAATGGAAATCTCCAAATGTTTAATAGAAATCTCAGTCCAAAAGCCTCCAAAAGCATCAAATCTCAATGGAAATCTCAATTTTTTAAATAGAAATCTCCATCCAAAAGCCTCCAAAAGCATCAAATCTCAATGGACATCTCCAAATGTTTAATGGAAATCTCAGTCCAAAAGCCTGTAAGATAAGCAAATCCCAGCAAACTCAAAAGGGAAAAAGTAAACTATAGCAATTAAAAAAATTGCACTACAACTACCCCTCCAAACAAAAAGACATTATTCTAGGGGCCTTTATAAATCAGTGCAGGGAAAAAAACATACATAAATCTGGGGGGGTTTTTAATCTGAGGGCCACATTAGAGGAATTCCATCGCTGGTGCACCGGAATACCATCATTTCGACCCACAGAATGTTGTTGGCTGCAGACACTCGAAGGCCAAACAAAGCAAAATTGCTTCTTCTTGGACAACAGTAGCAAAGGAATTGGATTCTCTTTATTCGAATGAACAAACAGGTGACTCCAAAGATATCCAAAGTCGAACAGAAACAAACTAGGTGAAGTCCTGCGCGTTTCCATTCACCGGCCACGCGGCACGCCGCGTGCCGCGTGCCAGCCCGCGGTTCCGTTCCGCGGCAGCGTGCCCAGGTTCCTCTTGCGTCCGCCTGCGTGAGCTGCAACAGATGTGGCACAGATTTGGTCGACGGATGTCCGATACCGAAAGATGCGAATTGTCAAAACTGTCCGGCCGGCAGGGTGAAGACTCAAGGAGCCTCATGCGAGTGGCTGGGCTGAGCGGATTGAAGATGGGTGAGGAAGGTACCCAGACACGACACGACGACCCTGTCTGGGACTGCCATAGGACTGCCGCATCAATTGACCCCCCAAAACCACACCAACTGATCGGCATCTATGGCATACATGGAGTGTCTGGGGTATGAACCCCTCGTAATGGGTCAATCACCCCTGTCTGGGGAAGAAGTTTTTATTGTTTCTGGCTTTCGAGAGCAGCAAATCCCAGGTACTGCCCTCATGGCCAGATCCCGAATGGGATTCCTCAAGGAGTGCATGGAGTTGCTGATTGGACCAAAACGTCTTAAAGCTGTGGTCTGAATCATTAAGACCAGTGCACGGCTTCGTTCAACGACCAGCCGCTTTCGGAGGATCATCCCAGCTAGTAACTTCACTCACTGATCAGAATTGTGTGTTTTTCTGAGCACCAGAAATTCAATGATTCCCTGAGGTGACACCTGTTTGGCATTTCCACGTGGAGACTTCAATGCGGTCTCTGACCACAACAGTCGCAGTTGCTGGACGCGCCGACAATATGGTGAGATTGAGTGCCCTTTGCATGTCAACGGTGGCTGGCTTACTGATAACACCAACACCAATACCCAAAAGTTCCTGACCCTTAGCTCGACGGAGAACGAAATTTGTTCGAACCTACATTGCATGGGAGGCATCATTGAGACGCAGGAGAGTCTTTTGGTTCTTCTTTCTCTGGAGGGTACTATTTTGGTGCTTCTCGTAACTGCAAGCTAGGTGTCTTCTTTCTTTCACTTTGGAGTTCAATGATCCATGAAAAAAGATCTGCCGTGAATTCACTAGTCGCTGTCTTCAGGTTGGGTCAGATTTGTTCAACAAGACATGCGTCTCCGAAGTCTCCTTGCGCAGGAGATCTACAATCGCATGTATGGAAGCGGATGCACGGTCGATTCAGACTTGCAAGAGCTGTGCCTTTGGAGCAAAGAGATCATCAATTGGAAGATCTCCCAGAGAGAAGCGGCCCTGAGAAGGGTGGAAGATGCGAACCTGCTGGAGATGAGGAAATCCAAATGCCAAGAGGTGAGAGAGACCGTCGGAGACCGGGAGACTGAGGTTCCACCTTGATTTTGTAGAATGAACTCCAACAACAACTTGTGATTCTTCATTTCTCGGGTGATTAGTGGACGGATTATGATTCATGAGCAGTGATTCACGCATATTCAGATTCATGCCAACTTGTTGACTCATCCTTACTTGTTGCCTTCCCCTGGACCTTGAAGAAGTGTTTGGGTGACATTCGCACCCGTTCTCAAGCTCTCCAGGTCTGCAACTGCGCAGCTCTATGTGCAGAGGTGACATCGGAGGAGGATGCCAAAGAGGATGCCTTCGACGTCTTGCCGTTCTCCGTGGTGACGTGTGAGGTGCACGGCACCAGCTCCGCCCTCACGTGTCACGCCACCTGTACGTCCTCGCGTCCGGCCAAAACGGTAAACAAACCGTGGCAATGCATGAGGCATGAAGAGGTCTCCAAGATCCAGGTCCGGGTCGTCCAAAACGGGAACCAAAAGGTCCCAAAAAAGCATCAAAAAGCAATATCACAGCCACGAAGACACGAACGCTGGAACACACATGTGAGTGGAAACTGCCCTTTGGAAGATCCTTTTCCTCTACAAGCAGGGGGTTTCCACTTGTTGCTTATTTGCTGCCAGGGTGGTCCACCAATGACTATTGTCTATAGTGGCCTTCCACCACCTTAGCCGCACCACCTTCGTCCGCCAGGTACAAATGAGCACTTTGCCGCGTTGTCAGGCAAGCTGTTCCACCTGTCCTGATGAGAGTGTCCATGGTTCCTTTCGGCTTTGCGACGCCACTTCTGCTGCGGCTGCGCGTGTCAGCGCACGTGTCAGCGCGGGTGTGGCGGGTGTCGCGGCGTGGGCCGCTTTGGCTGCTAGCCTCGGGATCGAAGCCTAAGGATGAGCGGATTCTGAGCCCACCCACCGTGAAACACCAATGTACATGGATGACGTGGATCAGAAGACCGAACTTGGGGGGATTGGGGATGATTGACGGGAAAGGTGTAGAAAGTAACACTAGGATACTAGTAGAAACTAACTATAGTCTATTCCGTCTTACATGACTGAACAAGAACGCGTGTAGAAAGCTGAATATATCATGAACTGGATCGGGAGTCGGCAGGGTTCAAAGAGATGTGAAGCATGCCAAGCATGCGAAGCATGCCAAGTATGCGAACCATCCTCGTTTCATCACCTTGCTCAGACTTTAAAACCAGCTTCTGCAGCTTGAAAGGGCTGCATGCATTAACCGAGAGAGCTTGGCTGCAAAGATTGGCCAGAAAAGAGGCACTTCTTCCTGAACAGCTGCGCTGTCGACGGTTGCCAGCTCAAGATCGTACTTTCTGTGCGTCAAGAGGGACCGCCAAAACACCGACTGAGTACTGTAAGAGTCAATCCTCCAAGTTTGTCGGAAGCCACGTGGCACACTGACGAAACCATTGTGGAGCAGTCAAGAACCACATATTACAGAAGTCGTTCTTAATCTTTTGAGAACGGCTCATCTAGTTCCCAATGGCGTTTTGCACCCCCTGCACCACACAGGTTTGGTCACGAGTCTAGATCATGCCATTCCATGCCCAAATCTTTCAGAATCAGATCCGCATGGATCCTGCAGACCTCCCACAGAGTAGGACCTCCAAGCACACAAGCCTCCGCCTCCAAAGCAAGAGCTGAGGATCTCCTGGCGGAGCACAAGGGTTCATTGCTGGTCATCAAGTATTGTGTGTCTGGACGATGTGACTTGGAATGCCTTGGCGAAAGGGAAGGGAATAGGCACTTGATGGCACTTGAATGTGTGTTTTTTGCAAAACACCTTTCCACACACACACACACCAAGTCTTAGCCTTCGGTTGAAGCAGACTTGGATGCGGCTGGGACAGTGGCGCCACGCATAGATCGGACGTTGGGACTAGTTGAGACTTTGGGACTCATTCGATACCAAATTCGAGGAATCCGGGCGGCGAACAATGGCATAGGAGTTGTGGTATTTGTCTTTAACTGTTGGCTGGGGAAGGATGGTGAAGGATGGTGAAGGATGGTGACGATAGTTTGTGTTCCGAGCTTTTGTACTTTTAAGGTTGTGGGATGGCTAATATAAATATGTACATGTGCATGTAACAGCAGGGGTTGACCGTCACGGCGCAAGGAAAGGGGTGCCAGGCAACAGAGCAGAAACCATTGGCATGCTTTCATATTGCCACAATAATTAATATAATTACAACATGCATAGTTTGAGGTGCGCGTTTTCTTTCCATGTAACATGGTGCCTTTGAGTGTACCGTATGGCACAAGTTTGCAGTTTCTCAGATTGCGACTGGACGACTTGGACGATGGTTCCTTCCCCACCATCGGACCCTCCAGGTTTCAATGCCACACGGACACTCGAACTTTGGAGCAGCTCGACCACATCGCGCGTGTCTTTTCTGTTTTCAAGCGGCCGCTTGCGGCTGTCGAATGGGACGCCGCCGATGTTGCCACCGAAAAAGCTCCCAGGTCAATTAGCCACCCCCCAATGACTGCCGTAGGAGGATGGTAGGTAACTACTCCAGTCCCAACAGTTGTGTCAGGATTTTCATGAGGTAGTGTCTCGATGGTTTTCCGTTTAGACCCCGAGGAATGCAGGAAGAACTGGCGGATTGATGCGGGTTTCATGGTGGATAACTTACACACAGAATCAATTGGCTTCAGGGGTGTTTTCCTATCCTGTGAGATGTTGTTTTTCCTGTGAGTTTACATTCAGAGTGTTGATGGCTTGTGCGGAACTTGTTAAGATGCGTGTAAGACTCTAAGACATGTCTTGAATTGATTTGAATATAAATTTGTGTGCAATATTTAAAGCCTGGAGATGCACTCTCCGAGAAACGTGATTTCGGCTTTCAATGGTTTTCGTGGTTTCCATCGTTGTCGCCCAAAAAGCCACCGATCCACTGTTCCCTTCGATTCCACCATTTGGAAACACTGCTCTACGACTTTTCTGGATTTGCAGGTCTTTACTTTTTGTTCCGTTTTTTTTTGATGTTATTTTTAGTTCTGGTAGTTTTGCGGGTAAAGTTGGTGATGCATGTTGATGTCCCCAGCACCTGCTAAATTTTAGGATTTCTAGTGGTGTTAGGAATTTTAAGCTTCTTGGGAGTTTGCGGTCCAGGACCATTTCATCTAGCAGGCCACATGGAGTTGGACAGGGTTATTCAGTGCACGAACATGAACATGAATGCCTAAACCAAGGCCTGCAGATGGGAAATCGCCTGAAACAATCTTTTTCGAAAGTCAGCCAACAGGCTAGGCTGAACATATTTCTGGGAACGAAGTGAGCAGGACCGGGCACCATTTCAACGGAGGCTAGATTAGGTATAGTTGGTGATGCAGAAGATGCACAACTAAGTTTGCATCATCACTTGCATTACTAAGTTGTATACAGCCACATTGTCAACTGCCCAAGCATTCTACTTTGGCGCTTATTTGGAACTGTTCTGGACGTTCCGCCGCGCTGTGTGGATCTCGAGGTTCTGGTGCCACACAAGCACCTTCGGTGGGTGGACTCCATCTGTTTGGAGTGAAACAAGTGAAACGTGGCCGCCTCTTGCCTCTTGCGAGCCGTCTTCGTGCGTCAGGTAGGTACTGAGGTGGTGTTCCCAATTTTTGAGTTTTGCTCGATCCACTCCGCTGGCCGCTCCACTGCATGTGGTGCATTTCTTGCCACCCTTCCTTTCGAATTTCCATTTGCGACCGGGCGCCTCCAAACGCCATCTGGCGACCTCTACTGCCAGTCCCCCTCGAGCACTTCCTCTTCCACCTCCGTCCTTCTGCTTTCACTTTTTCCGCCCACCGCCATTGCCAGGTGCAGCTCCACAGCCGTGCTCGATGCAAAAGTGTCTCCCTGCACCGTATGGTCTTGCGGTAGGTGCGCTCTCTTGCTGGCTTTCGGTCCCCCCTGTGTCAGATGGTCATGTTCACCTGCTCCTTCTCCCGGTCTTTGGAAAAGGATCCGCGCAGCTGCGATGGATTTTGGACGCGACCAGCGGTGCCAGCTCCACTCGACCTAAACCCGGTGAGACCAACATAAACCCGGTGGAGCTGGGTCTGGGTTTCGAGGTGAAAAGCCGGACGAGGAGGTGGGGCCGCACGCGGTTTATAGAGGGAAGTGGTTCAAGAAGATCCTTGCAGTGAGCTGAGTGACGGTAAATGGAAAGGAATGGATGGAAAATGGGATCTTGTGGCCCGTGAACAGGGTGGTGTTTTTACGCCAGAAATGTTGATAGGGATGCTGAGCACGGGTCAGTTCAGGAGCTCTGAGGGAGAAAAACCATTGATTGATGAGTTAACATTTCCTTGGAGAAACAAGTGTCAAGTATATCATACAAGATTTCCTGCGCATGCAGGATCAATACCTTTCCTCCTAATTAATCCACAAGCTTAATTAGCAGGATCTTAACAGGGTCTTGTTCACTGCCTCGTTCGTCGCCAAGGTGTAATTCCACTTCGACATTGAACAATATTGTTTCTCTACACGCATCCTTCTCTGATCCTCTTGAGGATGCTCTGAACCAACACTGCCTTCAATGGGCTATGGGGCTGTATCATCACTTATATAGGTTTTTGAAAGATGCAACACCAGCATCACATCATCACATTGTCCACCATCAGAATCCCATCCAGGCGGGTGGTTCCGCGCTGGCGGGGGATTTCGTGAACTTCGGCGCCTCTTCCCTGGCGTTGCTCGACCGCAAAGGGATAGGACTGAGGGGGTGCTTTTTTGGTGCGGATTTAGTGAATTCCATTTTCGAAGCCAGCCAATGAACTCTTGGAAAAGGTTTTGGATGGTTTTGGGCCTTTTTTCGGACGCGTTGGAATCTTTGGGAGCTAGAGGGGTAAACCGAAAAGGTATGAGGGGCCCAAGAGCATGGCAGAACCATCCAAAAACGGTGTAACATGAAGGGTTCATCTGGGGTTGAAGGACTCCAATGTGAGAACAGATCCCTTCTGATTGAATCAGTTCATTTGAGATGATCACACCTGCAGGATAGACATGGACAGCTCAAGACAAAGTCCTTCCGGAAAGGCAGGCTCTCCCTGGCACCAGTTGTGATTTTCACAAAACCGAACATTGGAACGTTTTCACCAAAGGGCAGCATCAATTCGAACGACGTACGGGAGGTGGTGGGAACTGGCCACCCTTTTGTGTTTCGGACGGATTCCACCACCGGAAGGAGCGCCTGCTTGCGCCTGCTTGCGCCTGCTTGCGCCTGCTTGCGCCTGCTTGCGCCTGCTTGCGCTTGGCTAGATGGGTCTGTGACGGGTCTGGACGGATGATGAGAAAGAATTCGCCAGGTTCTGGGCGAGAGGGACTCAGGTTTATGGTTTGATTGGGTTGTTTCTGTTTTTTCCATGTTTTCAGAAAAAGAGAGGAGAGCCTGAGAGGAACTCCTTTTTGGAGGACCTTCCTGAATTCGCATGCAGTGAGCAGTCGGAACCTCGGCTTGTCCCAGGTATGTCATGCCTATCCCCGAACCGGGCGACTTTGGCTTGGAGGCCCTCCCACCACCACGTGCCAATGAGGTGGGGGCTTTCTAACTCCGGCTTCGCGCGAAATCATGTCTTCTTTGGCCGGAAATTCATGGTTTGTGATCTGTGTGGGGGATGATCATTCCAAAACATTTGCACAAGAACTGTGGATTTGTTCCATGGAGTCAGTTCGAGCATCCCAAAAACACCATTTTTGCATGGCCTTTGCTTAACCAATCCTTCATTTCGTGCGTTCAAGAAGTGCTTGGACCAACAACCGCTCGGTCCGTGTCCTACAAACGCACCGCACGCGTGGTCAGTGGTCGGCACGGTCGTCCCAGTCGGACGTTGACTTGCCGCTGGTCAGTACCTTGCGGATCTGACCAGGTCGAGCTCATGACGGATGCTTTGGACACTTACCAGGCGAGGACTTCGGACTGGGAGTCGGACGTCCGGGAGTTGAGAGTTTGCGAAGTTGCCTGGCCGCGCGAAAGCGCACAGCGGGGGTCTTCGAAGTTGTTGAAGGGATTTGGTGTGGTTTTCCTTGGAAGTGAGATCGACACGACTCTCACTTCCGCTGGACTAGACTCAGCCCACTTGGAAGTCATCCACATGATCGGCGACCCGTGAGGTGGGTGAAGAGCACCTGTGCTGCACGAAGACAAACAAACAACGTAGAAAAGAACATCATTTAATTTATATATACCAGGACCTTCAAAGTGACCTTTTGAGATCCTAGAATGAGGTCACTTAGTCCCTAAAGAGGTCACTTAGAGACTCCAAAGAGGTCACTTTGAAGGTCCTGGTATAAGTGTAGGAGCTAGGAGCTTCCAGCCAGAGGTGTCCCGGTCTTTTCGGCAACTGCTCTGTATACTATCTTCATCTCTCTCTCTCTCTCTCCCTCTCTCTCTCTCCCTCGCTCTCTCTCTCTCTCTCTCTTCGTTCTCCTTCATATGGCGTCCTCCACACGGTTGGCCCCGTGCCTTGTCCGCGACCAGGTGGGCGAGTCTGTGTGCTCGGAGCAAAGGGACTTGGAGGATTTCAGCTTTCGTCTGGTGGTCTATCCACAAGGCCGATTTGAGCATCGACACGACGTGCGTGTTTTTCTTTGGGGTTTTGCAGGGGTTTGCAGGCGGTTTTGAAGTCCACGTCGATGTTGAAAGAAATCATAGCTGGTTTGGAGTCAGGTTTTGAGCGCACATTCACTAAGTGGTGTTGACTGATTCAGATGCCCACCACTTTGGGTGACAAACAGAATCAAACAAACCACAAGGGTGGTAGGAGATGTTCTACCTGAGAAGTCAAATTCAAATCACTACGATGTCCAACCTCCTCATATTAAACATACTGTACCTCCCAACCAGCCACCCACCGAATTCTGAAGAGTGGACGCTTTAAAGGCAAGGTCAGGCCTGTTTTCAAGCTGTTCTCTCAGTTTGCTTGTCAGTGAATTTCTTGAAATAACGTGATCTACTGAAGGTCTACGTTTGGCAAAGGAACTATACATTTCCTTGTTGGGGTTCCACTGCGAACCGCATGAATCGCATTCGCATGCACGAATGAACCGCATGAAGCTCAAACATCCCAAGTCTTCCTGCCTTTTTTCAGATCCAACGATTGCCAAAGCATGCCAAAGCAAAAAAGATGTGGGATGATGGATGATGGGAGGGCCCATGAGCCTCGCATCCTTTTCTTCGTTTGTTCGGAGGCTTCTCTGCTCAGAACCGCTCGGTGGCAGCCTTCGTGGAAGCCCAGGACCGAACCCAAACGTCGGTGTCGTGCGTCGGTCGGAACTTCCCGACCGGTTTGGTCGGGTTTGGTGGTGTCCTCGTTGAAAGGCGAGCAGAATTGGAATGTGTGGGAATTCAATTGGGATGACTTCTTTTTTAGGTTAAAGTGAATCCTCGGCTGTTGAAGGATGTTTGATTGAATCTCCTGATCACTGAACCAAGCTGGTTGGACCCCCGGGCAGCTTGAATCGGAGATCAAGTCTGCGACGTTTGGATGGGGTTTGGTGTTTGCAAGTTCGTTGATTTGGTGCATGCATGCATGACATGCTCAGCCATTGGAGGAGCCTGGCACTGAAGAGGAAGAATGGCACTTTGCCCGGAACTGCGACAGGGAGCAGCCCAGGCTGTGTGTGGAATCGCCAGCTGTACGCTGTACGCTCCACGTAGCACGTAGCGTAGCATCCAGCAGGCACACCAGTTCGTGTTAAAATGCTCCTTTTTGCCGGGTTCGGATGTTAGTTGTGTCAAAGTGCCATGTGATGCTTAGGAGGTAATGTCTTGCTCACTAAAGCCAGCCTGGGATATCAGAAACACCAAATTGGTCTTCCTTGTGAGGTCTTTGCGATTCTTTGTGTGTGCAAGGGATCTTTCATTATAATTAGTATAGGTTAGTAAGGAGGTATGAGGTTCTTTCCCTTCCAAATCAACCCCTGCTGGTCGCCCATCTTCGTTGGTCAACATGCAGTTGCTTCCAATCGCCCCCAAGCATCGGTTTTCAGGCACCTGGACCCCTCTCGAAGCCCTGCGCCGAGGTCCAAAGCCGTGCGGTTCCAAGTGACGTTGATGAACTGCATCGCCGCGCGGCGATGAAACACACCTGGATCCCGGTCCGGGGTCGTCCGGGATGTCCGGGAGGTGCTGCGGGCGGTGCTGCGGGTGGGGACGAAGCGGCATCGGCACGGCTTGTGTTTCGCGAGGGGACCGAGCGCTGGACAAAGCGCTGGTCGACCGAACTCCAGGACCTTGACAGCGGCCATCATCTACAGATGCCCTGTGCGGTAGTGCACATGACTGGTGTGTAAAGCTGTGCGAGTCGCTTGTAAGTTTCTTTTGATGGAACAGGTCATGATTCCATTTGATTCCCTTCATGATTTTCTGATCTTTTAGACGCTCACTTGCCGTTGTACCTTTGTGCATCATATCTTGTGGATCAATCACGGAAACTGACTTCTCATCCATTTTCTCCTGAAGATTGGTAAGAGGTACACCTGGCCCCAAGTGTGTTTTGTGGTTGGAAATCATCATCTCCCAGAATCAGCATGAAGGAAACTCTACAGGAGACCCAGAGGTTTGGAAGGTAAAAAGCATGGTGAGTGTACGGACTGTAGTTTTTTTTCCTCATATCAACCAATCCATTGGTCATTTGGATTTACTGTAAGAGGCATCCCCAAAAGGGCATCCATTGCGAAGCTGGATCCGACGATCCGACTGACTCCGATGGGAATCCAAGAACTGCGACGTCTCCAAGCGCGAGCTGGGCGACGTCCGAACCTTTGGAATACTCACATGGTGGCGACTAGAACCTACAGAATTGTATACACTACATATATATACCTATATCACCTATATCTATAGTAGTACCTACCTATATTAGTAGCTCTTTCCCAGGACTAGAACCTGGTGCCAACCGGTTCAAAATGGTTCAAAACCAACCTCGACCTTTGTTTTGCTTTGGGAGCCCTGGCCGGCGCGGTTTCGCCCAAAACCACTCAATGTTCTCAAAATTTCTCAAACACAGGATCAGACCAGCATCCTCTAACAGGTGCCTGGTGACAACAGGTGTCCAGAAACCACCTGTGGTCGGGTCTCCAAACAGCGCCAGGAGGGTCCTGGTATAGGATTGTTCTTGTCTCCCCACCACCGTTCTGCGCTTCCGCGCTGTGTTCTTCACGGCATTTGGCACGGACGCTTTCGGTCCGACCCAGGATTACCGTGTGAGCATTGGCCGGATCGATGAAGGAGCCCTGTCACCGCACGAAACCGGTCACCGTCCCGTCTCGTCTCGGTTCGACCGACCGACTCAGTCGTTGGGGGGTGAGGAAGAGGTGATTTGGAACGAAAGACAAAGGGTGGGTGATTTGAGGTTCGGAGATCGGAAGATGGATGATGGAGCTAGCATGGGCCAGTCAGTGAACGTCACAACAGTCGCGTCACGTTGGTGGACATGGCCTTCATCTCTTTGTGACCAATCAGAGTTCTCTGAGCTATGAAAGCATCATCCCTCGGCAAAGAACGTCTCGTTCATTTCTGTGCCTGACAACGAAACCCGAAATCAGCCTTTCTACAATCGAGTCTTTGGAGGAGAAACAAAGCGCGCCTGGTCATGGCAGTGCAACAGTATGCGCAAGTACAACCCCCAAGGCAACAACTCAGCATAGTCATGGCATAGTCCATCATCAGGTCCTGCACTGTCACTATTGTGTGTTTTTTTTCTTCTGACTATTGCACGGTTCCACGAATCTCCATCCAGCTTGCAGGAGACTTTACCAATGAACAGACAGATCGAGGTTGGCCAGATCTTCTTCCTCAGGAGCTGATGGCTTCACCTAGCCACACAGGGAGCACGTGTTGCAATTTCTGGAAAAAGAAACACATTGGAGGGTTTCATTTACACCAGGAGTTGGTCGAACATGTTGGCGTTTGTTTAAAAGACCTGACCTTACGAAGATCAGCATTGTTATCATGATTTTTCGACAAATATGCTGATCGTGATCGTGATGACCTAGTAAGGAATCATGCTGATCATTGTACAGTATATCATTACTTGTATATGTGTTATCATGATCATCATTATCATTATATATGAATCATTATACAATTTCATTGTGACCAGGATTTTCTTCTGCGTCCTTGCTCCTCCTCCTCCTCCGCCGCCGCCGCCACCTCCTTCTCAACCTTTGCCATTTTATTTGGACCGGTTGGAGATGAACCCAAGCCAAACTCTCGTGATCTTCTCTTGGAAGCTCCAAGAGTTCTCCACAATCAGAAGTGGTGACTCATCATGCTCCATAGAGTCAGATCATTTGCCGCTAGGTGTCTTTTTGCAAAGAGTCACAGAACGACAGACACCGATTTGTGATGATTGCTGCAAAGAATAGAGGACAACTGATTCTGCACTCCATGAAACACATAGTACTGTGCCGAGCTGTTTTCTTTGCAGGTCGGTTTCTTGGTAATTGTGAAACCACTCCCGTTTCCTCACGCACCGGCACGTGTTTTCCGTGAGACCACGGGGCTCAAGGCATGAAAGGACGCCGCTGCCACAAACGAGTGGCAGCGGAGCTAGGTTGATCCAGGGGCCGTGGTTTTTGGGGTCGCTTTGAGCTGGGCTGCGGTGGCGTGGGGCGAGGCATCGCTTTTCCCGGCGGGGGTTTTCTTGCTTGAGCCTCGTGGAGGTGGTTGCGACGATGACCTCATACTATGCGGCGTATGAGGTCCACATGAGGGAGCCCAATAGTGTGCACTCCGAGGAGTCGGACTGGGGAAATCTCACGGAGGAGAACATGGGTGAGGGTGGCAGCGGCGAATGGGATCCGGGCGTCGAGGAACCTTCTTGGACTTCATCGAGGACTTCTTGGCGGAGAAGTTGGCAAGGTCACGACTGGGCAGAAAACTGGTCGTGGGATGGCAGAAGCTCGGATGCAGGGAGCCACAGCCAGTGGCAGGAGAACTGGAGCTGGGGTGGTCAACGACAAGAACCATGGCAACGTGGTTATGGGGGTTCGGGACATTGTCATGGTGACGATTCACGACATGGTCATGGAGGTGATTCGGGACAAGGTCACGAAGGAGGGTCATGGACTACCTCACGGGCACCAGTGTCTCCGCCTGCGGCAGGCTTTGATAGATGAGGCAATCTGCCCTCGGGGGAAGTCTCCTCTGTGGGGGAAGCGCCTGAGCCGAAGGGCCCGGGTGATGAGCCGAAGTCATCGGCATCAGGAAAGGGGAAGGTGAGCAGCTCTTACCCGCCGATCTTCAGAGCCAAGGCGGGTGAGAGCTACAGGGACTGGCGGCGGGCCTTGGAGTTTTGGTTGGGAGGTGAGGGAAATCAGATTCCTGAAGAACTCATAGGCCCACGAATTATGGTGCAGCTACGTGACCGAGCAGCTCAACTCGTGAAGCACCTGAACAACAGTGACGTGAACCGCGTGGGCGGCAAGGAACGCATCTTCGAGGTGTTGGAGAAGAGTCCCTTGGTGAGGCAGCTCGACAAGCACCGCATCGACCAACAGCGGAAGAAGTTGATGGCCCTCACCAGGTATGCAGGAGAGTCGTTAGAAAGCTACATCACACGTGGTAGCGTTTACCGCACCCAGTTGCTTGGTTTGGACTCCACCCTGGAGATGGGCGAGCGGTTCTATGTGGGCCACTTGTTGGATCACGCTCGCCTCACTCGAAGGGACAAGGTCTTGGTGCGAGCTCGAGCTGGAGATGAGTCGGAGGAGTCGATCACCAACGCCCTGGTGGAATTGGCAGCCGAATTGGAAGGAGAACACGGCTTTCCGATCGGAGCATCGGAGCCCAACACCGCTGGTGCCAACGGTGACGAGTGGCTTCTACAACGTGGTGGAGCTGGCGGTGGTCCTCCCGGTCGACGAGGTGGAGCACGACCTGCACTGGCAGCCGAGCTTGCCAGTGAGTTGGGCGATGAGGAGGAGTTCAACGAGCAGAGGGAGGCGGGCGATGAGAGCGTGGATGAGGAGAGTGCCCACATCCGAAGGCTCAGCCGGTGATGTTGGCCGCCCATTCCTCATCAACCCGGAGGAGCACCAGGACCAGGAGATCGACCCCCTCGGTGGCACTGGCGTCTTTACCGGAGGAAGCAGCGGATGGCGACCATGAGTGGGACCTCTTAGTTTCGCTTTGTAGCAGTGGGGATTCACCCAAGTCGAAGACCGCTGGAGCATACATGACGCTGCCGTGTGGGGTGGGTACGTTTGGTCGATCGAGTGACCACGAAGTCCTGTGGTGTGTGAAGGAGTTAGCGACAGCCGTTATTTTGGACATTGGGTGTCTCAAGTCAGTGGCGGGTACCTCCTGGATGAATCAACTCCTTCACACTTGGCAGCAACAGGGTCGATGGTTCAAGGTCCACAAGGAGAAGGAGGTTTTTCGTTTTGGCAGCGGGGACACATTGACCAGCCAGTATGGCGTTGAGATGGAGGCAACCTTTGCAGGTAAGGCAGTGATCCTGGGTTTCTCGGTGGTCAAGGGTGATTGCCCCCCGTTGCTTTCTCGACATGCATGCACGCAGTTGGGGGTGCTTTTTGACTGCGAACATCATGTGTTGGCCTCCAAGAAGTTGGGGGTGAAAAACTATGGGTTGAGGCAAACCACTAGTGGTCACTATGTGATGGACATCGCCGAGTTTGCTGATCAACCCAGGATGGATATCCCGTCGGACTTCCGTTTATCGCCAGGCCAAGAGGCCTGTCGTTTGGACATCGTGAACAGTGCGTTGATGGGCGAGATTTTTGGCTCAGCGGGTCGTCGCGGTGGACAGACTTGTGACCCACTTCATGTCGAGCGCCCACCCTGTGCACTTTTGTCGAGTATGCGGAGAGGAAGGTCATCGCTCTCGCCAGTGCCCCAACCTGGAGTCCGAAGACGAGTCTCTGGAGCATCTGAGGCAGGCCATGGAGATGGACAACCAGAGCCTGAGGAGTTGGGGGGAGCCTCAGGGACGGGCAGCGAGCAATGCTTCGATGGCCAGCTTCTACCAGGTGGAGAAATCCAGTCCCAAGAAGGCCCCAAAGGCCAAGGCAAAGTCGGAAGTCTATCAGCTCGATCACGACGAGCAGGAGCACATCACCATGGAGGACCTCACCGAGCACGAGAGGGCGAAGATTGCCAAGGCAAGGGCGAGGGCTCAGAAGACCCGGCAGAAACGAGAACAGACCAAAGCACTCACCGGGCAACTGGCGGACTATCCGACACTGTCTCACAGCTACAGCGAGGAGGTCCCCTTCAACATGATCGGATGCTTCCGCAGCCGCATGGTGGTCTACATGTGGAAGAAGCTCTTCTGGCAGATCAGGGTCAAAGAACGCGGTGGAGAGAACTATGCCAGGGGCCAGGTGGAAGAAGAATCCGAGGTGGCTGGCAGCCTTGCTGGGGACGGAGGTGGCATTCTGGTGGGGACACTTCGGAGCCCTCCGTCAGAGGCTCCACGCCCCAGTGGCCCTCCCATTGATGTGAGCCCGGACTGGAACTCGAGTGGGGACGATGTGGTCGTTGAGGAGCATGAGGGCAAGGACTATGAGTCGGAGGGTCATGAAGAAAAGGGCTTTTCTCCGCCAAGCAATGAAGAGGATGACTATGAGGGTGTCGGGACCGACGTCCGGGATCAGATCTATGCGAAGGAGGAGCTCTATGTGGACGAGGAGGACCTGAGTGGCATCTATGAGGAGGATAGGGAGATCTTCTACCAGGAGCGCCAGCGCCCAATGAAATGGACGATGGGACGTCCAGCTCGCGGCCTCACTCAGAAGATGAAGAAGGGCGTGGGAGAAGGGATTCGACGGCTGGAACGCTTGAATCGGGGCGCCCAAGTGACGGAGAAGTTTATGGTGCTGGAGATTTTCTCAGGCTCCTCCATGCTCACGCTAGTCGCCAACGAGATGGACGGTTGGGGGGCCTACCAGCCGGTGGACGTCATCTTGAATGAGGAGGGGGACATGTCGCAGAAGGCCAACCGCGACAAGGTAAAGTCGATGGTGCGGGTGATGAAGCCGGACCTGGTGGTGATCACTCCTCCCTGTGGGCCGTGGTGTGCCTGGCAACGGACCTGCCGGGACTGGGATGCTTTGGACGAGATCCGAAAGGACCATCTACCATTTTGGAAGATGGCTCGTGAAGTGTGGGACATCCAAGCCGAGGGCGTCTATGTCTCACTGAACAACCCGAGGGCTCGGAGGCCTTGGAGACGGAGTACATGATCACCCGCGAGCCGATGTACCGGGTGACGGTGGATCAATGCACCTTTGGCCTGAAGGACCCGGTTTCCAGGCTTTTCTACAGAAAGACTACGTGCTTGGACGTCAAAGCGTTCGCCATTGGGTTGGCCGGAGTGCCGAGATGTAGCCACAGCCCGTCAGAGCACGAGCAGATCCGGGGAAAGGTGAAGGTTGAGGGACGCCTGGAGAACCGGTCCAAGATTGCCGCAAGGTGGACGAGGGACTTTGCGAAGTACATCCTCCATGCGGCACAGGTCTGCCTAGCTGGACGTCCCCTTCGGCCAGACGATGATCCTATCCCCGGTCATCCAAGCCCGTCGCCCGAGCGAGAAGGTTGGCCCGCGTATCCCATTGAGGTTGAGGAGGGAGTCCTGACCCCCGAGGAGGTCCTGAAGAGGCAGATGAAGCAGATGGGAGCCGAGGGAGAGAGGTATGACTACGTGATGTTTGAAGGAGATGGACGACTGCTTCCCCGTCGCCTCCGTGCCACATTGGCTCATCTTCACGTGGCTTTGGGGCATCTGTCCAATGAGCGTTTGCACCGGATGATCAGCCTAGCGGGGGGAAGTTCGGAGTTGCTTTGTGGGGCGCGCAATCTCCGGTGCCAGGTTTGCAACATGGTGCGACCACCCGGCAGTCGGCCTCAGGTGTCTTATCTGAAGCCGAGCAACTTCAATCAAAGAGTCAGCGGGGATGTGGTCTTCATCTGGGACATTAAGAACGTGAAGTACGCCGTGGTGCACTACATTGATGAGCTCACCGACTACCACGTGGGAGCGCTGGAGTTCGACCCCACATCGGACTGGGCGGCGGACGTGCTGTGTCGCCTATGGTATGATGTGTTCGGCCCGCCGGACACACTCATCACGGACGGCGGGACTGAATTCCAAGGATCTCTGGCACGGCTCAATGAGCTATTCGCGGTGCAGCACGATGTGATTCCGGATCAGGCCAAATGGCGTCTCGGACATGCCGAGCGCCACGGCGCCATCGTGAAGGTAATGATGATGAAAGTGGTGACCGAGCTGCAGATCGACAACCTGAAGGATATGCAGTGCGCTCTCTCTTCCTGCTTTGCGGCCAAGAACAGACTGGTGGGACAAAGCGGAGTGGCCCCCATCCAGGCCGTCACTGGCCGGAGCACGCCATTGCCAGGATCCTTGTTGGCCCAGATCACGAGCGGAAAGGTGAAGTTCAAGGCCAACGAGAACATCAGCCAAGAGGAGGCTTTGAGAAGGGGAGAGCGAATCCGAGCAGCATCGATAGAGGCGTGTCATTGGCTGGATGCTCATGAGGGACTGAGGAGGGCCCTTGCAGCTCGCTCTCGTCCTCCTTTCTTGGAGTTGATCCGGGAGGGCACCACCGTCTACGTGTACGACCCACCTGCAAATCGACGAGGGTTATAGCCCGCAGACTGCAGGACAACGTTTCGTGGTCGGGTCCGGCGGTAGTAGTCTGCGTGGAGAGGGACGGAACTACCCCAAAGAAAGTCTGGGTGCGGATTCGGTCACGGGTCAAGGCCTACCCCCTCGAGAAGATTCGCCTGGCCACCGCGGATGAGATGCTCAGCGCAGACTTCATCGTGGGCGCCTTGAAGGACGTGGAGGACGAGCTCAAGGGAGGCAAGATGGCGGTGCAGGACTATATCGAGGACGAGAAGGCCGCGAGCGCGGAGGACGAAAAGGATGAGAAGCCCCCGGCGAAGAAGCTCGATCCGGAGAGGGAGAAGAAGAGGGAGATCCACCATGATGTTCCGGAGGCCCTTCAACGAACCGGGGAAGAGGAAGAGCCACATTTGCTTCCGTTCAACAAGAAGCAGAAACTTTTTGAGCAGCTGGCGAAGGACATGGGGGCCCCAACCGCAATGCAGGAGGCCGCGGTGAGGGATCGGCTCGAGAACGCCTATGGCCAGCTGAAGAAGGTCAGAAAGGAATGGAAAAAGGAGCAGAAAGAGAAGAGCCGACAAGCATCACGTGCGGGGGGGACAGGGTCAGCTTCGGCCCGAGGTTCATCGGCTCCACCAATCCGGGAGGCCTTGACGGTGGAGAGGACTATGCCCGACGAGTGGATGGCCTTATGGTCCGAGATTGAGACGCAGGCGCTGTTTTGGGAGGCCGAGGACGAAGACAACACCTTCCTGGTCCAGGTCGTCGAGAAGGCCGAGAGCTATGCGGAGGGCGAGGTGAAGGCGGTCATGGAGGCCCAGCTGGTGACCGGCAAGCAGAGAGTGGAGTATCAATGGCGCCAGCTAAACGACACCTGGAGAAAGGCCTTTGAGAAGCCGTTGATCAAGGCCGTGCAAGTCTACTTCGACCATGATGCCATCGAAGGGGTACCCAAGGATGCAATTGTGGACCCCCGGAAGGTGCTGAGCTCTCGGTTCGTGCTGACTAACAAGGGTGGCGAGCTCCTGACTGAGGCTGAGTTGAAGGCACGCTGGATCTTGGGGGGGCACAGGGACTCCGAGGCGGGCAAGTATCCCACTCTGGCACCTACGGCAAGCGTGCTGGGCCACAACATCCTGAACCTGGTGGCGGTGCAGATGAGGTGGGAGGTGCACTATATGAGGACGTGGCAGCAGCCTTCTTGCAGGGGCAGCGGCTTCCTGAAGAGCGAGAGGTATACGTCAAGATGCCGCATGGATACCCGGAGGCCATCTGCAAGCACATTGTGGAGCAGGTGGGAGTGGGGTGCCGTGGAGACCTCTTGCGCCTCCGCAAGGGAGGTTTCGGACTGTGCGAGTCCCCCCGCCTTTGGTACCTGGAGTATAAGGCAACGCTGAAGCAGATCGACTTCCATGAGCTGAAGCTGGTGCCTGGAATGTTTGTGGCATTCCACCCCGACGGTCGTCTACGAGCCATGGTGACCATCCACGTGGACGACACCAGGTACGCGGGTGATGAGACGGCACAGAAGATATGGGACGCCCTCCACGAGCGACTCAAGTTCGGACAGCATCGAAAGGCCACTGACGGATGGCAGAAGTTTTGTGGCCGATTCGAGAAGCAGGACCCGGAGACTTTTGAGTTCTACTACACCATGGAGGAGTATGTCACAAAGATTCCGGAGATCCAGAAGGCAGAGTGCGATGCGGCCCTGGGGCCATTGACGGAGAAGGAGCGGCTTAAGATCAGCTCCATCCTGGGGCAGGTGAACTGGTCGGCGAGGCAGGGACGCTACGACCTGTCCTATGGCGTCTCTCACTGTCAACAACTCGCCGGTGCCGGCATGCGAGAAGCGATGGAGTGGACCGCCAAGCTGGTGGCCCGGGCCAAGAAGGAGATCATGGTGAAGATCCCCAACCTCGAGTGCGACCTGAAGAAGATGATTGTGTGGTGTCGGCGAGCGACGCTGCATATGCTGCTCAGCCCAAGGGGCATTCACAAGGAGGGCTGACCTGCATGGTGGCGAACCCCAACATCCTCGAGAAGCAGGCTCCGGTGGCGATCCTGGAAGCCCAGAGCATGAAGATCCAGAGGATCGTAAGGTGCAGTATGAGCGCGGAGCTCAGCATGGCCGCCGAGAGCTTCGAGCATGGGGACTTCATCCGCGCGGTGCTCGCGGAGGCCTTGCTGCAGGGCTTCGAGTTGAAGCGGTGGAAGTGGTTCGCCAGCCGGTGGCCTCACTACCTGGTGATCGACGCCAAGACAGGCTACGATGTTCTTTCCTCAGAGGCCACCACCAGTGATCGCAAGATCCAGATCGATGCTGCTGTGCTGCGAGAAGCCTTGATCGAGGAGGGGGCTGGCAACTACGTGAAGTGGATGCCAGGGAAGGAGATGGTGAGCGACGGCCTCACAAAGTGGGGAGACAACGGCATCCTGCTCAAGGTCATGCAGGAGGGTAGGTGGAGTTTGGTAGACACTCCCGAGGCCCAACAGCTTCGAAAGGAAGCGGCCGACCGCAAAAGGCGGTACGTGCAACGGAAGCGTGAGGACCATCGGGTGTGTGTGTGAAACCACTCCCGTTTCCTCACGCACCGGCACGTGTTTTCCGTGAGACCACGGGGCTCAAGGCATGAAAGGACGCCGCTGCCACAAACGAGTGTAATCTGTTCATGTTCGTGGTTCTTGCAGTGCACCCAGGTCGGCCACCTTTGTGTTCGTTAAGAGGACAGACCTGACAAACCTTTTCGGTGCGTAGACCTGAGGAGCTGGCGACGGCCGAGAGGGGATGGGTACGTGGTGGGCTCAGATGGTCGAAGGGCTCGGAAGCAGGTGAGACAAATGAGGTGAGGAGTTCGTTCAATGGAAGTGGGTCTCGCCTGGTGAAGGTCTCACCTGGTTGGTCAATGTGGGGCGTCAAGGTTCGTCTCTCTCGCCTTGGTCTCGGGAAAGGGCCTGAAAGGGATGGCCGTTCATACGTATACAGATCAATTGAATGAAGCACCTGAAGGAACACTGCGCCAGGGCCAATTGGGGAGAGCTTCATGCTCCTTCTTGCTTGCCAGATTGAGTTTTCATGATGCAAAGACACCAATTCAGCAGAATTCACTTAAACTGATCGATGTGTACGTGTCAACACTCACAGTGACGACCCAACATGATGTCCACCCGTATGTCCACCATGATGCTTATAGTTTGACTATGCTTGACTCATTTGATTTAAAAACACCGTCCAGTTGGTGTGAGAATTGCTGCCTGGTCGGCTCTGGCAGGTGAGGATGGATGCTTGTTGCTTCGAGCTGCATGTAGTGGCCCAGCGGCAGAGTTCTCTTGAAAGGACGAGCAGCCCAGTCAGGGCTTTGATCTCAGAAAAAGAATCTCTTCCAGCACCACGGATTCCGGGTGTCCATGAATAGCCCCGAAAAGGGGTCAAGGGGTGTCCATTAACCACCCTTTAAGGGTCCTGGTTCATGATCCCAATTGGAACCCACGGCATTCAGGGTGACGATCGGAAAGACATGCATTATATCATATTAATATCGAAAGCTTCGAAAAAGCAGGTCGATCGACCTCTTTGCCTGTTTTATGAACACCCAGCAGCCACGTCCCCTCCCTTGGCTTTCCCCACGCGCTCGCCCTGAGGCCTTCGCCACGGCCCCTCCCTCGCCGCCAAAGCCACGTCTGCGCCCGCGGCGCCCGGCGCCAGCGCGCCCGAGCCGCAGCTCTACGGCGCCGCCGCCGACGACGCCTCGGCCGTGTCAACGGCGGAGCCCGCGGCGGATGACCCGCAGCGCGGCGCCAGCGGCGCGTCACCGTGGGCGTTGACGACGCCAAGCAGTGTAGCAGCCACTGCTCCACAGGCTGATGAAGGGATATGGGCATGGGACATGGGGCAATGTGTTGAGTCTGAAGGCTTGGCAGTATGGATTCACGTGGAATAGTAACAGTGGACTTGACGTGACACCATGTAATTTGCACCCATTTCAGGTTTGGAGACATCATACTGCCGTACTGTCGTTCATGTCCAGGCGATTTTAGCATTCAAAACTTACATAATTCATTTGGATGAAGCAGGGTGAGGACTCCATGTTGGCATCGGGCTTTCTTTGGACTTGATTCGCTTGAAAGGTATGAATTGTGCAGCAGTCGGCACACTGCAGCGTTTGCTGACTTTTCATAGGGCCCCTACTAGGGGCTTATTTTGTTTCATGTCTAGTCTAGTCTGAAAATATATTCCTACAACTTCTTTATACGACACTGGTTTCTATACTACTACTTGTAGACATTCATCATTTTCCATATTGAAAGCCATCTGGTCACCAGAATGTCAGCTGTCTGGCCGCCGAGGAGAGTCCCAACGCGGCGATCGCGGCCAAGGTCGGCGGAGGTTGACTGACTCGGCGGGTTTGGACCCAGCGAGCGAGGTTGGCCCCTCCTGACCTGCCCAAGAGGTTGGTTGGTTTATACTGGGTTAAGAGTAGATGGCGCAATCCCCCAAGTCAGGTGGTTTATATGGACCCCTATATGAAAGACATCTAACTTGGGGTGCCAGTGCCATCTACTCTCAATCCACTGGATGAATATAGAGGGGATATCCAAGAGAAGATCTGGAGTGATATGGTGGCATCAACCCCTCTGTTCCCGACCCGCAAATAGATAGACCAACCCAGGAAGTACGTGGACCTGCACAAGATGGAAATGTTGGTTGACATTGACGTTCCGGTGAAATTGAATGAACTTGAGCTGACGGGGTCAGGCAAAATGGATAGAAGAGATGTATTATATGATTGATGTATTGGAGATCTGTTTATGGATCATGAGGTGGTCAACTATCCTAACAGCAGTAATGAAGGGTTTGGTCCTTTCTGTGCTTGTTTCAACAGATGGACCTTTGAATCCGATGGTCCATCTGATGGGCACTTTGGATGGGCACTTTGTTTGCAACTTAGGTCATTCCCCTTCATCCAGCAGTCGTTTCCGAAACTGACACCTGTTTCGGCTAGGTTCTTCCAGTAAATGTGGAACCTTCAGGTAATTTCAGGTACAGTTCTTCTTGGAAACCCCCGATTTCCAGACGGAACACTGCACCATCGAATTCTTCAGTTCCAAAAAGCCCGACGGTCCCGTCAGTCACGCCTCGCAGGTGAATTTGGCCTCCAGCGTGAAGGCTTGTGAGGCGGGTGACTGGCGGGTGACTGGCGGGTGACCAGTGCCAGATCTGAGATCAAGCAGATACTCCATGGGACTGGACGACATGTTTACATTCACCCCTGAAACCACCCCCCAAGGTAGGTCAATATGGCAGTCCGGAGTGCCTGGGGGAGAATCTCTGGAATCCTCAACGTGTACCTTTGTCCGACCATGTTGGGCCAAGTCCTATTCTGTTTGCCTTCTGTTTGCCTTCGAGATAGTCGAGATATATTCTGTTCAGGTTGTGCTTGGTTAAGCCACCGATTACGATCACTTGCCTTGATTCTTGATGGTGTCTAGCGAGGGGATTCCGATCACTTCGCTGGTTTGAAGGCTGTCATCTCAGCACTGATTTCCATACAATAAGCCATTATTCCTTTTTGGGGGTGGGTCGTTTGAGGATGGAATGGAACATGCACATGGTGTGTTCATTCACTAAACTGGCCAGGTAACAGACTGAAGTATTCAGCATATCCTGCAACCAAGTAGCTTTAAACATCTCTCACATGCAACAATCATCAATCCGCTGCTATGCTTTACGAGGCATGCTTCCGTGTTGGATAATGGAGGATAAAGTCGAGTTCCGCAACTGCGCAGGATTCCGCAACTAGGATTCCGCAACTGTTTGGTCGGATTCCGCAACTGGGATTCCGCAACTAGGATTCCGAAACTAGGATTCCGCAACTAGGATTCCGCAACTAGGATTCCGCAACTAGGATTCCGCAACTAGGATTCCGAAACTAGGATTCCGCAACTGTCAAGATTCCGCAACTAGGATTCCGCAACTAGGATTCTGCAACTGGGATTCCGCAACTGGCGTTCCGCAACTAGGATTCCGCAACATTGTGGACTCCCTCACTAGGATTCCGCAACTTTGTGAATGATGAGGGGTTGGCGTGATGTCGAGATCACACGATGGGGACAAGGGGGGGTTGGGGGGTGGGGGGGTTGGGTGGGGGGCTAATGACGTTGGTTTGGATGTGCTTCGAAGGTGATGTCACAGGCACACACGCTGTCGCATGATGTGGAGATCACCAGTTGCAAGTTTCAGAAGGCAAGTTGCAGAATCTGACTTTCCGGTTTCAGAATACCAGTTGCAGAATCTGACTTTCCGGTTTCAGAATACAAGTTTCAGAATCCCAGTTTCAGAACCCTAGTTTCAGAACCCCAGTTTCAGAATCCTAGTTTCAGAACCCCAGTTTCAGAATACCAGTTTCAGAATCCAAGTTTCAGAACCCTAGTTTCAGAACCCTAGTTTCAGAACCCTAGTTTCAGAATCCGACCGATTAGTTTCCGAATCCGGCTCTAACCATGGAATGGACAAATGTCTTTGAGGAAGACCCTTCCAGTGATGGATTCTTTGAGTCTGATTGTGTCAACGGAAATAATTCAGAACTGGGCCTCCAACAGAAGAGCGCCCAAACTGATCTGGTGCCACAGATCTTCCAACTCTGCAACATCTCTGCCTTTGGGCTTGTTTTTATAGATGAAGAGGCAGACATTTTGCACAGTTGGAAGACTAGAACCAGTCAAGCATTGCTGTTTGGCAACCTTCAAAGATGTGTTGCCCAGTTCGAGGGCCAGATTGCAAACACAAACATTCTCAGAATTGCAAGTGCTCGACCTGCTATGGAGAATATATGGTATTTGCAGGATGTATGGCTTCGGCTTGGGGTTGCTTTGCTAGTTATAGCTGGTCACTTGTAGGAACTGGAAGCAGAGCCTTCTCACTTCATTGGGGTTGATATCCCCTCCCCAAGATGATTCCAGCCTCGTACGTTTCGGCTGAGTGACCAGCAAGTGTGAGTGACCAGAGCATGGTATATCCGGGGAAACACATGACGAAGTGGACAGAAACCCCATTTGGATCTGATCATCGCCTTCCTTTGTTCATCGGTACATGAGGGAGTTATGAAGGACTTACACGAGCCGTGGGGAAAAGGGCGCTCCAGAAGGAGATGTGTCTTCGTCTTCTTTCGCTGACAGGAGCGCCATGATAGTCGGCCCATCGGGGAAACGCAGATGAGCAGTGCAGCCAAGGCCACGAGAGGTATGTGTTGGTTGCCCTGATGGATGGGGGATGATGGGGGTTGGTTCACTCATGCTGGATGGTTCTTCACTGGCAGGGGGCCCACTTTGGGGCACAGGATCCTTGGTCGGTCACGTTTTTGAAAGCCTTCGGCCTTATGAAACATGAATGGAAGTCTGAGGGCCCAAACAAGTGGAGAGGAGGTTCTCAGACCCAAATCCACGACGGCACGAAACACCGAGGCTGTTTAACACTTCATGGAAGGAGCGAGACTTGGTTCCGGAGAATTCTTAGATCCAAGCAAGTACTGAATTCATTTCTGTCGCGTTGAGTGACAGGAAGAACGCCACACTAGCCGGCCAGATGCCGCAGCGAAGGAGCTGAATGAAGCCTAAGTCTACGCGTAAAACCGTGATCGTCCAGTGGCTTTGTGCATTGAAATAAAAAAAAGTTATAGAGATCCTTTAGACCTTTGTTTTCTTCATTTGGTTAGTCTTGGTCAATTCTGATCATTTTTTGCTAGGTCTTTCCTGGCTTACCCTTTGTGCTTCCTGGCTCTTTGTCGTTCTGTCAACACAGAAGTCATCCGTCCACTTGGAAGATGCTGAGCTGTCAATTGATGTCGATCTTCATGCCGTTTTGGGGAGTTCGTTCAGATGTGGCCGACCGGTTCTTCAGGAGATGGAATCTGCGACAGCAGCTGCGACCGCAGCAGCTGCGACCGCAGCAGCTACGACAGTCGCTGTGAAGAAGGCCCTGACAAGCAACGAAAGATACAGACCAACAGATCAGATATTATCAGATCTATACGCAAAACAAAAACTGCCCAGTCAGTAGTGAACTGCAATCATTATTTTTGGGATGACTTCGTAGTTAGCTCTCCCAAAATGAATGGGATAACGTGTGTGAACACAACCAATATAACCCAAGTAGAGAGGTAATCGGAGTGGAGTTGTTGTTGTTGTTGTTGTTCTTGTTGTTGTTGAATGTCATGTGGTCATGCGTGCTTCAAAAAATGACTTTAATCCTTTAAGTCCCTTTTTTCCCTTGGCGTCGTCTCTTCGAAATCCATCTGCTCCGCATTCCTCGCGGCGTCCTCCCAGATGCCCAGCGTGGCGTCCTCCGCGCCGCTGCCGGCCGATGTGGACGATGCCGACGACGCGGCGGTGCCCGGCGAACCGGCGCCGGCGGTGCCCCACGGGCGCGGCGGCGTGCTCGCCTCGGCACGCGAGGCCAAGGCGGGGGAAGACGCCCAAAGGCGATGCGTTACGCGGAGCGACTGGATGATGGACATTTGGGGTGTTTTTCGTGGTTTTGGGTGGACGGGGAGGTATCTCCATCCGAACTTCTGCCGAGGTGCCACTCCATGGCCCTGTGCCAGTGACCGCCTCAGCACTGTGGATTTTTCATGAGAATCACGGGATCTTCCCGGAATCCGTCACAGTGACATCTTTTATATATTATAGAGTTTCACATCGTTTCACCACTGTTTTGCAAGATGTTGCAAGTGAGTTCTACTTGTATTAGACGCCCGAGGACTCACATGGACCCTGAGAATGGCAGGTCGATCCATGTTCTTAGTCTACCGTCTTCAGCGGTGTTCTTTTCCTTTTTGGGCTTTAGAGATGCATCCGGTAGCTCGAGGGCATCCGGTGTTTGAGTCATAGCCACATCCTGTAAGAGTCGTGGCCATGGCCAGGTCCAATAGTGCGGAGTAGCCCCATGAGAGGTTGACAATCACATTCAGCAGATATGATGGTGCACATGAGAGTGGGACTGCATCAGTCTGATGGAATCAATCTCTTCATTTGGCTCCCCCCAAAAACAAACCGTCTCCCCTGTCACCCAAACCGGTGTCCGACGTCGGGACTGTGAGAGTCTTGGATCAACTTGGATCGGAGAAGACTTTGGTTTCAGTCGGTCCATTTTGGCTGGTCATACAAGCTGCTTCCTGTCGGGGGTGCCCTGGCTGGAATACCATATACTATATTACTATATTGAAACTATATAGGTCTCCATTGAACACGCCGACTAGAAGTGCTAGGTAGATCTCGAAATACAATCCAACAAATTGGGGGGGTGCTCTTTTGCGACTCAGGATGAGGTTCCTGATGGTTTTGTGGTGGGAGTTTGAACCAGCCATCACACGCAGGGGGATGACATGAGAACTCATGCCCTCCAGCCAGTCTTCTGCCTGCAGCCCTCAAAAGGTCGCTTGAAGATCATGGCCTCATTCTTTCGTTTGGATCATGGACGGGTCTCACCTAACCCCCCCCCCGCAGAATGAAAGAATCCAATCTATCCTATCCGAGCGGAGGTCTCCAAATGGAGACCCTATTGGTGTGTGGGCCAACCCCCCCAGAAAACGGTCCACCGATCCTGGGCCTGGGGTTCCGTCTGAAACAGGGCTGCTCTGGGGTTAGAAGAAGCTGAGGTGATGGTCAGCTTCGACTGCCCAGAGCCGCGCATGCCACAGCCGATCTTCTCCGAAGACTATCCCGATGATGAGATGCCCGGGTAGGTCTTGAGGAGTGCAGAAACACGCAGAAACACGCGTATAGCGCCGTATTTTTTGGGTGCCTGGGACCAGATCTGGAAGAGTAAGAAGAAGTGGGTTGATCTATAGAAAATGAAGTGGGTCATGCTTGCATTCATTTAGACGTGCTGGATGTGTGCTCGTTGACCTTCCGTTCGATTCCATTGGTTTCTGGCTTTTTCGGACATCACTGGATCGTGAAGCCGAGCTCATTGCTTCAGTTCAGTCCTCTGACGGATCTCTGGGGAAGAAACGCGAACAAAGATCGTTCCGCATCGCAGATGGTGATGTTTCTTCCCCAGAAGATGCACAAAATATTCACCATCTGCGACTACCATCCACAACACAATGTTCATTGCCATTTGTTTTCGGTGATCTCCACAATTTCGATCATGCAACACCTACTCTAGCAGCCTAGCACCTTCCAGGTCTGACAAGCACTCACTTGGCGCAGGAGCTCGTGCAGACTGAGTAGTTCGGGCCAGTAGCTCGTTGCTGACCTGAACCGTTAAAATATAGCAGACCCTAATAGCTTCTTTGTTACTACTAGTAAGGCACTTGTTACTAGTAGCGATGCACTTGTTCCTAGCAGCTTCCAATTGTGTGTTCCCTGACCATTGCTTGAAACTTCCCTAAGGTTTGGGCACAGTGTTAGAAGGACGCACCATTCACAAAAACCATCAAACACCCGGGCCTATATAAATATCCTAAATGTTCCGCCACCAACACCGTTATTATCATGCAAGTATTAAGTACAAAGCCCACAACTCTGACTCAGACTGACAAGTTCGATTGGCCAAGAAACTTGAGTTTGACCATGAGGTTCCTCACAAACTGGGCTGTGTCGAAGGTGGTCATTTCTTCACTCTTTGTATGAGGAGGGCCCGCAATCTCTTTTTCCAGAGATCCAGAGAATGAAGACGGCTCGTGGTAAAACGGTTTTTGGCGGTGTGCTTTTGCATCTTTTTTTTGCACCACCTCACAGAAGTGAGCCAGTAATCATCGGTTATCCCCCATTTCCAAGGTTTGGTGATGCCGGGTGAATTCTTCCAGACTGTCGCTTGTATAGATCATGTCTAACATATAGGTTTGGCGGCGAGCCTTGTGTGGAAATTCAGCAAGATGGCCTTTGAACATGGCCCAGTGTGAACGATAACGGGCGCAGGCAGGGCGCGATCTTTTTTGGATCCAATTTGTTTGCACCTTTGAATCCAGTTGCCAAGTTATCACCACTAGTATCACCACTTTCCGCACTTTTCTTAACTTAAGAACACCAATTCATGTCTTCACGCTGCGCCACCCCCTCTCGTTTGAAAACACCGCGGGCGAACGACGGTTCGCCTCCAGTATTCTCGGCTGCAGCACGCTGGCAGGGTGGTCGACGTCGCTCCTCTCTCGTGGTCTCCTGTCCCGGGTCGTGACAGGGCGAAGCGAGAGGGGTTTGCCGCATCTACCGGTGGCAGTCGAAGTAAGGACACATCAATCCAGAACATGCGACGACTGGACCATTTACTTACATCACCGGAGCTGGTGAAGACGTCGAACTGTTTATCCGGATGTTGTAAGCGAGAGAGATGTTGTGAGCCCATGATGGTCACTTCCAACTCACTGGCTGGTCACATCACCGTCATCGCTTCGGCTTCCCTGCCGGCGTTTTTGGTGCAGCGATCGAATGGCTGTCAGTTTGGGACACCCAAGACTGGCTGGCTGAGTGGGAAGACCTTGTCATGATGCGAATTTAGCTTCCAGCACAGACAGTTTTTCATGAAGCCAGGTTCTGATGTTGGTAGGGAGAAAGGGACTAGCTGAGAAGGACGGAGGTTCTGGCCAACTCTTGGTCGGAAGCCGAGGAGACGTGATGGTCTCATGGAACCCGAGTTGACTCCCAAGTAGTAGAGAGAAGGAGAGAAGTCCATGGAAGGGAGGGAAGAATGCATTGGAAAGTGATGGGTTAACATGGGTTAACTGTTTCTAGATCAATGAGATCAATGATTGAATTCATGACGAAGAGCTTCCACACCCTGATGTTAGGTTTAAGGCGTTCTTTTCGGCGCTGGACGTCTAAGACGTTCCGTTGGCCTTTGGACAAAGTGGAAGAAAAACCAAGAACGTATCAATGGCGCTGGCTCGACATGGGACACTCAGCCAGTCGAGTAATAGAATCTAATAGAACTGTCTTGTAATCTCTTGTGGATTGTAGATCTCTTTTTGAGTCTGGTGGATTGAAAATCGGGGTAAGAACAGCGGTGAATGGCACTTTGAAATGAGTAACTGGCATCGACAGGCAGTCTTCGAGCAAAGGAGCATCCACATCGGTGTTTTTCCCCGTAAGACAAGGCAGAAGTGAGGGCGGCATGCAACGCAATCTGTGTTACTTCTGGGGTTAAACTGAATGGATTACAATCCAAATGCAATCCCAACTGAATGGGGTCAATCTGAGTTACTTCTTTGGATTGCACCCAATGGCATTTGGATTGCAATAAAATGGATTACATTGGGTTGCCAACGGTCTATGAGGTTTGTTTGGTCTGTGTAGAAATGCGGGTGCGGGGGCGGTACTGAACTACTGACTGGACAGAGAACGGCTTGAAATCACTGCCCTCTTCCGGTCTCAGACATCTTCCCTTTAGAAGTGGGAAATCGCTGGAAATCGGGGTTTTCGCTCTGCCAAGAGATCCCTTGTACTTTCATCCCTTCACAGCCTCAGCTGAGCCAAGAGAGGCTGTTTTGGGAAATGCTTACCGTTTGTTGGGAGAGAATGTCATACTTCATCCCTTCACAGCTACTAGTAACAAGCTACTAGGTTGGAGGCCATCGCTTTGAAGGTGGAGGCCATCGCTAATAGGTTCCTTGCCACTAGGTCACTAGGTTCATTGCTACGTGCCAGGGTGGAGGCCATTGCTACTTCATCCCTTCACAGCTGGCCACCCGCAGCTTCTTGGGCTCGGGCCGAAACAGAGGCCGCGGACCGAGCCCCGCGGGAGCGATGGCGGCGCTGGACCGGGTGGAAGCGGAGGGGGAGGATGGCTCCGGTCCCTGGTGGAAGCGGAGCCTGATGAAAAAAGGGATCAGATTGCTGAGATTGCAGATGTGATGTATAAGATCAGAACAGTGATCAACACATATCAGAACACTCTGTTTTAGGGTCGGCAGGTGGTTCTTTTGAAGCTGTGAAGCCACCGAGGTTGACGCTCAATTGGGAATGTTCAGACACATCCAGACACTCAAACTGATTACGAAAGCCAGCCTTCGTAGAAGGCGCTAGCGGAGTTGTGTCTGGCGAACGAAGTGAGTAGTTAGGGGGTCTGGGGGGGGTGGCCCGAGAAAGGGACACGTCAACTCAGCACATGCTGGGGGAGGAGGGTGCTCCGAGGGAAGATTTTTTGAGGTTGTGTTGGAGGTGATTTTTGAGGGGTGGTGATGCAAGAAATGCCAAATGCATCATTTGCATCATCTGAATGGAAAGGTGTAGTTGGCACCTTGCAAGGTAGAGAGACCTAGGGTAGCTATAGTGCAGCTACCAGGTATAGTACTTCAAGTTCCCTTTCCGTCAACCGCTTGAGAACCTCTACACACGCACAGCAAGCCACAGCCTTGAAGTCTCATTCGTGCTTTGAACTTGTATAGGTGTGTAAGAGGTATAGCAACATACTACCTGAGAAGCTGCAAAACGAGAGCCAGCGCTTCCCTTTCTCGAGAACTGCGCGTCGAAGCATAGGATA